ACCTCTAAAAACATTTGCTCTTTCTGCTTCCACCCTGCTACATTTATCCTTCACTAAAGTACTAAATAAAGTCTAGCTTTGGATTCTATTGGAACCTCTTTATGCCACTTAGCAGTACGATATACCAACACAACAGTGCACCGTCGTGTAAGAAACATTTGCACTGAAGAAGATTCAGTGAAGGATCTGAACTCTCACAATTTGGCCTCATTTACCTTTACACAGAAGCACTCTTCGTTCGATTGATGAAAAAATTACATCACAGGAATACAAAAGATTAACTCAAATAACTCCCCCCATAAGTCTACAGCAGAGGGAAAAAATTAAACCAATTACATGAGCTAGGAATCAAGACATCTGTTCAAGTCCTGCCTTTGCTCTGTGACAAGGAAATTTGCTTCCTTACTCTGTGCCTTTGTTGACATCTGTGGAATGAGAATATTCCTTCTCTCTCAACCATTCGCTGTCTTATCTATTTAGGGAACAAATTCTCCAGCCTGAATCATTTCTTACAGTGCATCTGTGCAGCCCTGAGAATGAGGCGGTTGTTGTCTTCGTTGCATTGTTGTAGCTGCAGATCAGTGCGGTTTGCAGAAAGCACACCCAGGGAAGAACAACCCTTGCTTAGCTGCATTTAATTAGGAACTCTTCGGCATAAGTGAATAAATGCTTGCTTTGTTTTCATTTGATGCTACCTCACTTTATTTTTACCAAAAGAAACTTTAAGGGGGGTCTATAGAGTCAGTAAGAATGGGGTACTTTGCTTTATTAACCTTATGCAAATTCAGAACTGCCTGCAAAATGAAGACATACATGGAATTTAAGAAGCATAATGGTCTTGTTTAATGAGACAGTCCTGCAGAGGTTTCTCTCTGGTGGAGCACGACAGCACCCACTGGCTCTGGTGTGCCAGGTCACACTGACAGGTAAGCTGGTAAGCACAGGTGGGTTCAAAGCTAAAACAAGTTCGTCTGGTAGCAGTGGTATGGGCCGTAAAGGAAAATAAATGTTTAAGAATTTAAGTTTTAAATAAATAGGAATCTCTGCATGGGTTGCAAAGAATACGAGTTTGCTCAAACAGGAGCAATGGCAGGTGAATGAATGATCAGAGACAAATCCAGCAGCATAACAATTGCAAGTACAATCAGTTCTAGCTTATCTTTCTTACTCAAAGATGGAACTGGTTAAAAACACACCATTCCTTGGCTAACCTGTGCTTGAGAAAGTCCACAGATGCTTCCCCAGGCAGTTTATTCCTGGGCTTCACCATTCTTACACTTAGAAACTTTTTCTTAATGTCTGCACTAATCTCTACTGCAATTCAAACTCATTATGCCTCATCCCAGTCCCAGTGGACAAGAAGTTTATTCCCTTCCACTTTGCAGGTAATCATAGGAGGCTCTGAAGACCTATTACATCCCCCATGTTGCTATCATGTGTTAGCACATTCATATGTGCTATTCATGCTATGGGAAAATGTATGATATTGCCAAAACTACCATAATCAAGCCTTATGAATTAACACACACTTCACAGAGTGCCTTGAGCATATTAGTCTCTGGGCAAGTCCTGTGTTTGACTTCTCATTTCTAAAAATTCTACATATCTGAATGTATTACAAAGTATCGCTTAAATACTCTTGTGAACAAAGAAGCCTGACACATTTCAGAGCAAATATCACCTTGCTGGAGGACTAGAAGTTGTATCAGTTGCATATTGACTAAAAATTACTAGCGTTGTGGTTATGATTATACTAAACAACATAAAAGCATCTAATGGTGTAATCACCAGAACAGATGTCTGCTAGTCAAAAGAAATAGGTTCTGCTCCAGACCACTAATACCAATCACTGATGGCGGACGTGTCATTTAGGCCAACATTTGCAAGAGCACCCAACAGCAGAAACACCCAGCTTTTGGGCAGCTATCTTAACTGATGCACCAGCTGAATTACTGCTGAACTTCATGACTGTATGACTATAACTACAGTTTTCATGGCAGTAAAAAACTACTGGACACCTACAAAAGTGAGAGACAGTTAAGGAAGATGGAGCTAGCAACATCTACACAGCTTTGGAAAGGTTATTCTCAACAGCATCGCTTAAGTCTTTGTGTTTGGGGCTGAGAGCTCAGAGGTGGGACTGGTTTTGCTTTGGAAAACACCCATCTAAAGGACACCCTTTTTAAAATATATAATTGCAACAGCACAAAATATCACACCTGAGATGCAGCAGAGCTCCAGACCCATATGTAGTAACTATACACTGATTAGCTTGAAGTACCAGCCAACAGCAAAAAGGACACTTACCAGCAGGCTTTTGTAACATTCAGGGCACAGATGCCACTTGGCTTCTAATACCACAGTGTTATGAGGCTCTTGTGAGAGACAACCAGGGGTATTTTTTCGTGCAAGCAATCAACTGCAACTGATGACTCTATTAGAGTGGCAGCTATGACTCCATGTTTTCTGTATGGCCCTCAACACCGTCCAAAATTCAATGACTTAAGGAGGTTTTTTAGATCTCAATTCCTCTGATCAAAAGTCAGTATATACTCTTTGTTCAGCTGCTTGTTATATAGGTCAGAAAAGGCTTGTTTCATGACTTCTCCAGTTTATGAACCTCTGCCTTGACCCGCATTTCTAGAAGAGAGCTAATAAAAGATTAATCTTGTAAAAGAAATAATCTGTATTCTAACTGCACATATTCATACCTAACATAGGGACACAGCTGTAGCTCTGACCAACATGCCTCCTCCATTATGCCCAGTTGTCTCATTCATCCTCTACAGACTTGTTTCAAGCATTTACATAAAACACCACCACACCACAAGGAACTTCCCTATCACTGTTAAGCTATGTACATCAACAGTTGTTTTCCCCCCAGTACTTACCAATGACAAGTTGCACAGGTGGCATCAGGTCCAGCTTATGTTGTCTATTTTGTTAACCAAATTATTTGGAATTACCCCAATTTTTTGTTTCCCTAGATGTTGTCTAGCTCTTATTCCACCTTGTTTCTCACAGTTCTACCCCTGTAACTCCCCATTATATCTTCTCTTCATTTCACATTTCTCCACATCATCACTAAGCACCTTTTTCATTAGTCCCAGCCTGTTTCTGCCTTCCCACATTCTCCAGATCCATCCTCACCTCAGGTCCCTCTTCTACACAAGCAAGGTCACTATTGTGTTTCCAAATAACAGCAATTTTATTTGTGGGCTCAATCCTGTATTTTGTAACATTATACACTCTAAGCTGTGAGGAGATGGAGAAACAACAGGTATTTTTTATGTTTGCTCTGCAAATATATATATTTATATCCATACACACTGTGGTATGAGATCCTGGAACACTTGACAGCACTCTTAACACGAAGTCTACTGTTTCAGCCTACAGTTATCCCCCAAACTAGGGATTTAAGCTTACGACCTTTTTTGCTACTCATTCGTGCAGGAACCTCTGGATCCCATTGTTAGGCCCCAGACCCTCTGTATCAGTGCGTTCCTCAAACAAACAAACATAATACGAAAAATAAACACCAGGCTGTCACCACTTCCTAAGCCAACAAATAAAATTCAGGCTTTGCCCAACATCAGAGTCATGTACCCTCAATACAAAGAAGTCTATCAAAACTAGAAGAAACAGGGTGCTGCACATCAATCAGAAGACAGGCTGCTACTGTAGTGAGGACATTATTCATATTTAATTCAGGAAGACCTTTTTTTCAAGCCTATCAAAACCAGTTTATATTGTCAAAGAATCCATATCTAGCACATGCCAAACTATAGCACATTCCACATACAACTCATTTACTATGTCTACCTAGTAACAGCTCCAGGTTGTTAGCTTTCTGCACAGAACCCATCTCCCTCTCCATCACCACCTTCTCTGTAACGATTGGTTACTATTCCTGTTGTCAGCAAGTTTGTTTTCTTAAAGGTAATGAAGTCTTCCCACTGGCTACACAGGCACTGATAACTCAGAAGTTGGAAGTATGAATCCAATCACCACTCCAAAATACTTACACCTTAATCATCTTTGGCAAGTCTCACAGGAGCTTTGTTCTGGCCCTCCTTACTATTCACTGCAAAGTGAACACTTAAGTATGAAGTACTTCCCTAACACCTGATACAAGCTACTATTAAGGGAGCAGTCTGTTCTGCAGAGTTGGAGGAAATGGCTTTTATTGGTGGTACTGATCAGAAGGCATTTACCTTCATTTCCACAAACCAGCCAGGAATCTGCACATTGAATATATTTTTTTAGCAAAGGATGGATTTGCAGGTTTAGTCTCTTGATCAGATTTAATCCAAGTTATTCTGCTAATACCACATTCCTGAGAAATTCTTAATTTGTCCAAGTTGAAGCATCTTCTCACACCCCACTCCGAAATCCTCAAGAAGCTGACACACAACTTTGACAACAGATTATCCTTCTTAGCAGCTGGCAGTAAGGCAAGCAGGGCATTCAGAGAAACAGTGGATTTTCATGAGATTTTATGGCCAGAATGACATTTCCACTCCAGGCAAACTCCTCTTTTCTACCTCCACTTGTCTTACTCCATAAACCTCGCCTACCAGGTCAGATCTGCATATTTGGAACAGCCACTCAGCTGTAGGCCGAAATTCTATGTTTGCTCCCCTATACCCTCAGTTCTTCCCAAGCATCATTAACTTTAGTCTTTTATACAGTATATGAAAAACACGCAGAACCAAAGTACTACATATTCAAGTTCTTTCCTCCAGGAAGAGTTCATGATTCTCCAGTAACGATGAACAAGCCCACCTAGTACAACCTTAGGCGTTCACAGCCCTGCAAGAAGATTGCCTGAAGACTCAGCATCTCCGTGTGATGAAGAAATTCCTAGTTCATCTCATTGGAAAAAGACAAAAGGTTGAGAAATTTTCCACCAGGAAAACCTAGAACTCAAGAATTCTTGCAACTTTGGTCTGCTCTTAACATTTGTTTCACAAGCAGTAAAGGTTGTGACACAAAGCCTCTGTTTTCCAAAAAGCCATGGATATTTATTGAACAGTTACGAGATCACTGGAAGTTTTCATAATAAAAAACAACAAAATGTGTTTTTATAAAGGTTGTCAGCAGGACTGAACTAATGTGGCCATAGGCAGCAGATAAAACAGCTTCACCAACATTGTAAAAAAAGTAATGACAGATTAAGACATGCTACAATATACAAATATCTCTAAGTGAAAAACAGCATCAGTATGAAGACTGCTCTTCTCACTTCTATTGTTTTAGTTTAGTCTTGTTAGAAGCAGGTGCACACCTCTTGTAGAGAAGTAGCATCACCAGAAGTCTAAGCAGACCACTAAGTAGACCTGAAACAAATAAACTGTATTTCAGCAGGTGATATTTAGAGTAATAGTAAGTAGGTAAGACATTCAACATTATATAAAAGTAGACATGTATAGAAAGACTGCTTTCACTTTTATCAAGATACTACAGATAGTGATTTACTGATCAAAGAGTTGTTCTTGCCAAGTTTTCTTCATATAATATGGCATCATTTTCATGCATTTAAGAACGCATCATGCAGAAATGCTGATTCAAATTAATAAGCAAAAAGATCACTCTGAAATAACTATTAGCCTTCTGTCTTAAGTAACTTATGTTTGGAACCAGAGATGTAACATTAATAATGTACTGTAACATTAAAACCTACACATCATTCTTAGTGCCCCAAGGTTGGCACAAGCAACTTGTACATGTCAGAAAAGCATATAAACCTTGTTAATGTTTTCAGAAATTCATTTAAAGATAGAAACAGGTCCAAAAAGATGCCTGTCTAAATGCATTGCAATTACGTTACAATTATTTTCCAAATACACAGATATGCTCTGTCTTTTCTCAGCTCATTACTGACTCAAACAATTTGCCCTTCTGGGATCAATTGTTTGCTAATAAATAATTGCTTACAGTCCCAAAATGATATTAAGGAGTATTCTTATTAGTTTTCCTTCTACAGCCTAATAAGATTCAAAACTAGCTGATTCCCAAGAGTCTAACCTTAACCTTGCTGTGTTTAACAGCCCAGGAAATGATGAACCATCTGCTGCAGAAAATAATGGAGGGCCAAGAGGAAATATTGTTTAATTGTAGATTAACCTCCTCCTAGGGCAGAATGAAGCATCTACAGAATTAGCAACCATAACTAGCAATGAACAAAAATAACTGAAAGCAGCTCTCACTACTACAAGTAGCAGTGAGTATTCTTTTATCACCTTTTTTTAAACCCTCCTAAATGTAATAAGTACAGTATGACTTTAAAAATAAAAGTGAATTACCAGCTTTGGATTATTTTTTATTGCTTGTGGAAGACCCAGAAGTAAATCCTGAATTAATTCTGGTTTATTTTTCCATCAGTATCAAAATCAGTGTAAAGCAAACATCTCCCAAGTGAGAAACGGTGGATTTATTCTCCTGCAATTTCTACCTCACATCTCCAGAGCCATAAAATGGCTGCTCCAAAGCTACATACTTTAAGGGAAGAAAGGAAGGCCTTGAGGTTTTAAACTCAAGAACTTTTATCATGTGCCTATTTGTGTAGCCATTTAGATACTAAATAATGGAGACAACCAGATAAAGTGTAAGACAGTTTGAGTACTAGCAATTAAATGAAAAAGCAGTGACAAACCACACTGAATTTGAAAATAAAACCTGCTCCTTTGCTAGCATAATTCTGCACCGTCAGGGCAATTTTTCCATGTAACATTCATGCCAAAGCGAGCTCCACAGAAATCTTTTACCTCCATCAATCACTTTGCCCCATTTTGACAGCAACAATGATAGAAAAGTGTGTTATCAGAGGGCTACAGCAAACTCCATTAAGAGGGATCTGAAAAAGCTTCTCCTTGATTTTACACAGCCTTTCTAGAACAATATCTAGATTCACTCCTGCGAGAGCTAGGTGCATGCTCGGTGCGTAAAGATCCCATTAATTCTAAGTTTTAAATCTCCAAACAGAGTGACATTTACTCAAATAAATTATTCTTGAATTCTTCCCTTAATTCTTGCAGCAATGAGCTAGCAATAACTCCACAGCTTCATATAATAGCACCTATTCAAAAAGGATAAGAGTTTGACATTCTTCTCCTGCTAAACAACTAGGCACAATTTTATCCATCAGCCGTCTATCAACCTACGGATATTGAAAGCTTGGGCGAACAAGATAAAATCAAAACCAACCCTACTGTCAAGCTGCACTATCTCCTGGCATCAATAATGCTATTCATGAATTTAGGAAAATTAATAAATCTTGGGATGAATGCTCAGAAAGTCTCAAATACAGGTGAAGCATACTCACTTTGGTTTTGTTTCTGCATCTGTCACTTGGCGAATATAGATACCATCTTCAGGATGCTCAATGTCATCCATTTCATACATATATGAAGAAGCTATTGCAAGGGTAGTTCCATCATTGCTGAAGGCAAGCGATGCGATGCTTGTGGGATAGCGATGGAACTGACACAGACGCTTTTTATTAAAGGGATCCCAAATATTTACAAATCCATCGGAGCCTCCTGAAATGTAAGTTTTTAAGAACTGTTAATTAGAGCTGGGAAAATGGCAAGACTGAAAAGACACAGCAAAAATAGAAGAAGGGAAAGAAAACTACCTGAAGTACTCTGTCAGTAAAAACACAGGGTTATACAGAGTTGCATAATTCAGTAAAGAGCACCAAGTATTTCTCAAAAATCTCTGCTAAAGCCATTGACTCTCAAAGCATCAAATCTTTTAAGAACCCTGCTCATTACCAGAAATGCAACTTAAATGCTTAGAAAGGAAAGGCAGCACAGAGAATCCTGGAATGGTTTGAGTTGGAAGGGATCTTAAAGCTCATGCAGTTCCAGCCCCTGTCACGGGCAGGGACACCTTCCACTGGAGCAGCTTGCTCCAAGCCCCTGTGTCCAACCTGGCCTTGAACACTGCCAGGGATGGGGCAGCCACAGCTTCTCTGGGCACCCTGTGCCAGCGCCTCAGCACCCTCACAGGGAAGATCTCATCTCAGTCTTCCCTCTGTCAGTTATATGAAGTAAAGGCTAATCTGTTTAAATAAAAATTAAAGGAACTGATGCACGTTACAAAACACTGATTATCTACTTTACCTGTAGCAAATGTGTTGTGGACATTATGGAAAGAAATTGCATTAACTGGATAAATCTGCTCAATGTTGTTTTCCTTCAAACGGTGACATTTGAATGCATATTTCTTCTTCTGAATTTCTGGACTTGGATCCAAGTATTCCACAGCAACACGACCTTCAATAGAACTTAAAACATAACCCTAAAACCAGATTGAATATGTGCATGTTAGTAGTATACAACTGGAAAAGAGATTGCAATGCAATTTATTTTATACCCTTTACATTCAATAGACGAAACAAAAAGCCTTAGATTGCGTACAGCAAGAAACTTTGTCACCACAGATCAATGGCATCAGCACCATAGTTTTAAGCTGACAGTGAGACCTTTTAATTACCCTTCAGGTCCAAACACAAAGTCAATTTGGGGGGAAGAAAATGCTAGTTAACAACCCCTTGTATTTGCCCACCTATTCCCCAAGGCCTCAATATCTGAAATATGAGAGGTCCTCATGGGACTGTTTCAGAATTATATTACATTCAAATTAGTTCAGAGCTTTACACTAGCAACTAAACACTCAGGTTGAAATAGTATTTTCAGTGAAACTTGATTATAAGTGGTGTTCACTTATCCAGTTAATTACAGTCCTGACTTAAGAGCAACCTGAGATGCTTTTATTATAACTTCTGAGTTAAGCCCATAATAGATCTTTTCAGAAACAGGATTGTAATGACATCTAGCTATAGCAAGGTTCTTTAAAATCCATAATACGATACAATCTGGACGATCAGCTTGTTTCACTATAACTAGAGCTGAAAAGGGACAAAGCCTTCATGCCAGCTCAGGAACAAGTGACTAAGTCTCACAATTCCTGTACTATCACTATGTACGCAGGAAAATTCCCTTTCCAAATTAGTTTGCCAGAAAAAGCTAATATTCCTTCACTTCAGAAATACCACAGATACACTGTGTTAACCTACACAGTATGATCATCTAAACTGTACAACTCCCCCTAGGTAATGTATCCCAGGTTCGTGAGTGCATGACAGAGTTAAAGGAAAAAAACATAAAAGACATTCATATAATCTGAACCCTGCTCCTGCCTACTGAAGAACCTGGGGCTACAACACAATAAAGGCTGCTGAGCAAACTCCAATACTGTTTTCCTCTTTTTTGCTGGAACTTTGTGGAGGTTTGGGGTTTTTGTTTTTAATTGCATGTTGGCGTTGTGATGCATGAAGTTATTTTATAAAGGAAACAAAACTGAGGGGAAAAAAAACCCAAAACCTAATAGGCTGGTAAGTCAGTGACAAACACTCCTGAACTGCACTATTACAAAGAGTCAACTTCAAAGCCTCAACACCGTTTAATTTTCCCCTCCTACAAAACTTCCGAAGAACAGAATTTGTTTCAAAAGAAAGATGGAAAAAAGCTGACAAACCACCATTTCTACTAAAAAATATTCAGAAGTGTGATTACTGCCATGCTCCCCATACCTGCTTATTAGGAAACGCTCTGATACAGCGGGTCTGGTATTTCAGACTTGATTCTCTTCGCTGCTGAACATATCCCATGTTCCTCAAATCCCACACCAGCACTCTCCGACCAGCAGTGCCCACGATTAGCCTATCTCCAGACACAGAAAGTGTGTAGACCTTAAAAAAAAATTAAAATATTTAACATTAGTCCTGAATATCCATTGTTCTTCCAACAATATAAAATGGCAGCAATATGGAATAACAAAAATATCTACACAATAAAGTCAATAGCTATAGAATTCCTTTTAAATTAATTTACAACTCAATTTTGGGATAAACAGTCAGTGTGCAGCTGGTTACCGAGAAGACATTGATGTAGCATTTTAACAGCTCACCCTTAATTCTGGACCCTAGCACATAACTGAGACATCAAGCCCAATGCAGCCCCAGTAACAATATATATGATTATAAACATATATATATAGCAATAATAATATGTATATGCACTTGTGCAATTCTAAATTCCAAGAACATTTTTTCAGTTACCAGTCTCCAGATCTCAGCAATGTCTAAATCATCTTCCACATATTGTTTCCCTTCTGCTGGTATTACCCATGATCTAAATGCTACATGTGCACAGAAGTATTTGTTAAATTCAAAAGGGACATCAGTAGCATTCAAGTTTTCCTCCAAAATTATTTCAATTGTTAAATTTATTGGATATTTCAAGGCAAGAGAAAAACAGAACAAATAAGAGGGAAGTGCATGGATATTGCAATTCATCTTTGCTTGGTAGGCTCAGTTTGTATTCCCTGCGATCAGTGCATGATCCTGCAATTTTCCTACAATACCACATCACACATTTTCTTCTCTGAATTATGTGGTTTTCCTTTTTAAAAGAGAATACTTCAGGTTGAACTCTATGTTAACAAAGGGAAATAAATTACCAAAAAGCATTTTAAAATACTTTGATAAAAGTGAAGTTGAAAGCAGCAATGTGCTTTGCATCATTAAGAGACCACGGCTCGGAATTTCAACTCCACTCCAAAAACTGGCTCAGAGGCTCTAACTTTCATGTGTCAAATTTCTCATTAAAATATTCAGCATATAAATTGTTCTGTTTCCAAATACTACTTGGGATGCTGTTAATCTGGAAACACATTAAAAAAGGAAAAGAAAAAAAAAGGTTCAGTCAAAACCTCTGTGCTATCAAATTAATTACAAGTTGATGATACACAAGACAGAATCCAGCTGCCTATTGCTGGAAACTGCTAACCAGAGCAAACTGCAAGCATGAGCTTTGAAAAAGTGAGCTAATGCAGCTCAATACATAGGAAACAAATCCTGGATATACCTCAGAATCAAAAGTGTAAGAGATCTGGTATCCTGCCAAGAGGATTCAATTTACTTTTGGCATTTGCTCGTACAATTTCACTCAAGCACCTGGTTTCACTTTCTGGTTCTCTGACAAAGGCCAGTAAAGCTGTTTGGTTCAGGTAAGACTGCACTGAAATATTAGATCAAACAACTTTTCACTTGCTATAAGCATTTCTGGAGAGATTATTTTTAAGTAGTTAATTTCTAATAAAAACTAAGCGTACAAGTGTCTATGTGTGTGGGTATACGTACATATAGAGACAGAAAAAGCCTTCCTTTACCTATTAGCACTCACTCAGCATGCATTCTCACTCTAAAATGTGATTACTGAACTTCCACCTTCAGACTGCGGCCTTAAGATGGGAAATGTCTTAAATGTTCATACAAGAGTTGACTAAAGTTTCTCATGATGCCAATTGCCATGAAAAGGGCAAGAAAACTTTGATCCAACAGTAGTTACACACTAACAAAACAGTTTTTCAAGTCTCTCCTATTACTGATATAATTATTAATAGCTTGTGATCAATTTTTACATGTGTTTGCATACATGCACAGCAATAAAGGCATAAGGAACATTAAATATCTTAAGTTTTCTTTACAAACTGATGTCATACCTGTACAGTAAGTATTCTTTTTCCACACACACAAGCATAAATCACATGACACCATTGTCATGCAGCTGGGTAGGTGTATACATTTATCAAAAGCAGTATTAAAACAATGACATAATGAACCTGGCTGAACCAATAAGCAGCTTGATTCACTGGGGCTGTCCATTATATGATATTCTGTCAGCAATTTATCACAGTTCTTTACATGCTACATCCACCTATAAATCAAAACCTAGAAATAATGCAATTACTTTCTTCTGAACAAAGGTCTTGCCAGAAGTAGATTCAGTTATGCTGTAACAAAAGTAAGAGCTATTTAGATGCAATAGGCAACGTAATGATGGCTCGTAATTATGACTTGACAGTATGATGTGACAGAGCTAAATGAGATTTATAAAAGGTATAGGCACAAAATCCTATGTAAAATCATCCAGCAGCCCAGCCTGCGTTTAGGAGTCTATGAAAAGAACAGAAATTACTGTTCTGTAATTCTTCCAGTGACACCAACGTAAGCAGCATAAAGATTAACACACCATATAACCATCAGAAATAGCTTAAGACATCACGTTTTCCCTTATTTCTCTTGATCTCCCATTACCACAGAGGATCTAAGTATTAGGAAGACGTCTGAATTTACAGACATTAGTACAATGACAGGTAAATTACAATAAAAGCAATTCTGTTCAGTCTTTTAATACAAGTGAAAAAAAAACCCACCCAAAATTACTATTTCAGGCAACATAAAAAGCCTCCTACTGTATCTCTACACAGATGTCGAAGCAATCAGACCTTGTAACTGCCAGGATCTGCTATATCAAAGTCTCAACATTTAAGGAAATCAATGGTGCATATTACAATTAAGCCAAATATTATTAACATCAATGTCACATGCTGGTTTTGTTCAGTTTTCCTTCCTCTAGTTTGTTTTAAATCATAAGCATTTGGTCTACCACAAGCACTAAGAATTAAGCTACATTCTCCTATTGATGAAAGCTCAAAGCCTCGACCTAAAAAAAAAAAGTCACAATATGTTCTGAATATCAGTATTTTAAAAAGGCAACGTTTTCACAGCTTAAAAAGCATTAAACCTATCTTTCAAATTCAATTCAGTTTATGAGTGTCCAGTTTGGTGATGTTGAATCCAGCACTGGATGTATTATTTAATACAGCATCCAGTACATACCTTTTCTGGTTGCGAGAAGGTTCCTGCGTTACAAGGAGTTCTGGGATCCCACAGTTTAACTGTCTGATCCCAGCTTCCAGTCACCATGACATTCACTTCTGGGCAATACTCAACACACCTGATAGGAGCATCATGGGCACCAACAAGGTTTTCTGTAAGAAAACACAATATATTTTAACTTTACTGGCTTACAAACAGTAAGAATGTGTTGAATAAAGAATTAAAAGGACACACTATTGCAGTATGAACGAACTATTTTCTGACATTCCCATGGGTGTATTTATATGCCAGGAGTCCTTTAAGGATAGTTCAGTCTTTGGAAACATAACTTCTGCAAAGATCAGGATTATTAAATTGGAACTTGTCTCCTGAGATTAAGAGAGAAAGTTAAGAATTTTAGGCAGTCACAGAGAGATCTTCAGAGGTATAAAGAAGTGTTCAGTATCAAATGGCATCACCACCTTTAACAGAGAAAGCAACTGAAGCCTGTGTGTATGAATATTATGACAAAAGAAAGGAATCAATATTACATATTAATATTAATACGAACACTTCCACAAAGTCATCTACAACAGAATTTGACCTTTTCATAACATCACTGTGTATACAACCTTGTTGAGCCATGGCTATTGGCTGGTTCCAGCGATCACTTTTGTCTCAGGCTGAGATTCACTTTTCTCTTCAACACACATACAAACACACAAAATAAACCAGCTCCATATTTTGGACCAATGAGGCATTGGAAATGTTACTTTTAAGTAAGATAAAGCATAGTGTGAGGCCATGATGTTTGACAAAGCAAAAGCTGCCACACATGTGAAAGATCATTCTTAAATACATCTAAACCACAAACCTTTGAAAAATAACATGCTCAGTTGTACTTCAGCTTAGCTAATTCCCACTAATTGAGACACAGTAGCCTAAGGCAGAGCAGAATGATCATCAGAAATCCAACTCAAGGCATCCACCAAACTTCCAGGCAAACTGCCAAATGTTTCCATGCTTTTAGGAGGTTCTTATTAGGGTCACCAGTTATTCTGCTAGATAACTGTGAAACTCAGCATGAGGAGCACACAGCTATTTCCTTCCCTTCCATTTTCACCTTCAAATAAGTAAATAAATACACGTGTAAAATACATCACTGAATGTCCATCATGGTAAAGTTTAAACTCTCAGTTTGGCAGCAACATATTCAGGCCTTTTGTCAAATATGTTATAGGAGAGCCTTCAGGTACACAGTAAGGACACTGCCTTGTTCTGTATCTCAGCAATCTGAAAGGGCAGGACAGCAAAGGAGACTGGTGAGCACTGACACCTTAAATCCAGATTTAAGCATCTAGTACTTAAATATCCCTCATCTAAAAAACTGGAAACATATTCTGTTAAGTAAATAAATATGAAGCTTAGGCCAGTTGTTGAGACCACTGAGAGAACTCAATCTGCTTACCTTGGTCCGTGTTTAAATCATGCATCTTCAGTTGCTGATCTAATCCTCCACTCCAGGCATGGGTAGGATCCTATAAAGTAAAAAAAAAAAGAGCTTACCTTCTGACATGCATTAAGCTTCCCTGGCTGTTACACATTTAATCTTCCAGGCTCACAACGAAAGATTTGCTTTCAGGAGTTTGGGGAATATGGGAACTCAGACACAAGGTTACGATCTGGCCCAGATCTAAACAGGCAGGATACAGAAGCTTTGCAAAATGTTTAAGTAAAGCACTTTGAGCTATATTTTTATTATTTAAAATAAAACTAAAAGGCAGTTAAAGGCTACACCAAATTATTTCCACTGTTGTAAAAGCAAAGCACATAATACTTCTCTTTAAACAACCGCCAGCCTAAACCAGTTCCATCTGACTGAAGCATAATCCTCCTAAAACTAATCTAGAAGCCAGATACCATTTGAGAACATGCGTATCGATCCACAGCACGATACTATGTGACAAAATGGTCAGTGAAAAAAAGGACAAGACTGGGACATTTAAACTGATCCTTAAAACACGTAGTAACAGAGCAAGTTACTACGGGACATGTCAGAATGAAAAAAAAAACAAAACCCTAGTTGAAACCTTCCAGTACATATATGACACCAAAAAGGCAAAACAAAAAGTGGCACTAATAAACTTGAAGCATATTTCAAATCCAGTGCATTAAAAACACAGCAATCAGGCATCTGGTATTTGGGAACATGATGCCGTGCTCCCAGCCAACCAATTTCAGAAGGTGAAAGAGAAGACTAACGGGCTATGGGCACTTATTGGGAATAACGATTTCCGGCTATACACCACCAGTACGACTCTTCGTAAGAAGCATGCACACAATTCACCAGAGCACTGCAGACAGCACAAAGCAGCCCAAAGTACTCTTGCCTACAACTTCTACGAGGAGTAAATTACTTGTGTGCCTGCACCCTTTACAGGAAATATCTATATTTAGGACTAGAACAACATTCATTAAAAGAAGAACAATGGGAAGAAGTTTTTTTAAATAAAGAAACAAAACTATATTTTAGGTGGTATTTCACGATCCCTTTAATTTCACACACTGCAATTTCTCAGGTACCTTGATCACTATAGGTCTATAAGATAATAGTAAATAAAAAACCACCTCCCACACTTACATAAAAAGCACAGTCCAGGACAGCTCCTGTATGCTGATATTTGAGTCTCATGGTGTTGGCAGGAACATCATAGAGCCGGACAGTTGTGTCCCAGGATGAAACAAGCAGGAACTGTGATGTGTTTGGACTAAACTTCACTGATGAAATACCATCATCTGGAGTTTGATTTAGTTTGAATTCGTTTGATCCTGTCATCTGAAGACAATGAACAAATACAGTTTTAGTAATACCAAGAACATAACCTAGCAAGTTAGCTTCCTAACTGAGCCATCTTAAAGAAAACTTAGAGCTGAAAAGCTGACCAGCTTTTACATAGAAAAGTTCACAACACCCAGAATTCTGACACACTCTAAAATTCAAGATGCTCATCCCTGTCCAAAACCTCAATAAATTCCTCCTCACACTTTTCAAATTTAAATATCAACTATAACATGGAACAATAATACACTTTTTGTACTGTTGGCTCTAAGCTTATATATTTTTACTTACAAATGTACTTTTCCCCACTCTGTGTGTGGCTATATTTTTATAAGTAAATACCAATTACTGTAAGTATCAAGAAGTTAGGAAAAAACAAACAAACAAACAACAAACCAAAACCCACACATGCAGGTAAAAAGGAATGAACTCAATTAGAAAACAAAAAAAGAAGTGTCAATTTGTTCCTGATCTGCTATAACCATCACACTCGCAAAAAATGGAACTGGATCATCTTTTAAATAGTTCTGGGCTTTCTGCAATTTCCCAATCCTTTGGCTTCCATAAGTGTTATAAAATATTTTCAATGAAACAGCTTTTTTTTTTCCCTCAAAAAAAAAGGAGGTCAGATAAGAAAGGAAAGAGATGGTTTGCGGGGTACTAGAATGTAAAGTGTAAAAGTGATGTGACTAGAAAAAAGGATCAACAATTGAACGCCAGCTCAATGACTGCAGGACTCACTTCACAGGACTGCTTAACTTCTATATGCAAAAATTCAAAAGAAAGCAAAGGCTAAAACCAGCAAATTTCAGTTGGGAAAGCAGTGCAAACCTTACAGATCCTCTGAAAAAAGGAGCTGTACACGACATATACAGCACCAAAAGCACCAGAACCTGTTTTTAAGGCTTCAGAAAGTCTTAAAAGCACATTTCACTTTAGCTAAAATCAAAGGAGAAGCAAATTGGCTCAAATTTTCTGTTACACTGTCACTCCTGGATCTGTACATACAACTGCAGAGGCACGATCACATCTCTGAGAGTAAGTCAAGAGAGAAAGAACAGATGAACTAGGAGAAAGTTCAAGCTGAGTGCACAGTTATTCTAATTCAGCACTTGTCAGTAACTAAGCAATCAAGTTGTATAATAATGTAAGCACTACACATTCTTACACCAGAGAAAATCCCTAAGTGGGAACTTTAGCACGTGTTTTCTTAGATATCCTTCAAAGAAACAAAACCACTATGGAAAGACAAAGTTTTTTCTGCTATTTAAACACAAACTCTTAAGACTAGGAAATAAAATCATCTTTCTTAACCCCTTTTCAGCTCTGCTTTGGGATACTTGGGCAAAAAACAGACAGGCTTGAGAATCTGCCACACATTTTTATATGAATACTACAGAGAATTCAGCTGCACCTTCATCAACAGTGAAGTGTACCACAGCGAGTGCTTCACAGGGATGTACAACACCACAACTCCCAAAGGAATTCAGAACAACTACAAGGCATGCTAACTGCCTTGTCTCCTTGTGGCAGAAAGCTAAAACGACAGAGGAGTACAACAGCAAAGAACCAGCTTAAAAGCAATCAACAAACAGCACTCCAGGAAGCAAAGTTACTTATGTCAGAAACCTGGAAAAGTCTCCCAAAGGTATTTTTAATGCAGGAAAAAAAAAAAGAATATAAATATCAGGATTTAAGTGCATCCTAACTTTTATATGCGTTACTAACAAAAGAGAAAAAAACATTAAACAAAGAAGTCTGCACGGTTCCACAAATGCAACTGCCTCACAGTCAGGACTGCTGAACATTAACTGTTCAGGCCCACCTCAAACAACAAAGTCTTGTTAAAACGTTGACGCACCACAAGAGGTAACTCATTAAAAAACACATTACAAGGAAGAAACTACTGAAACTGTGATGGTGACTTAACTACAGGATGCACTTTTACAATTCCATAATAGAATCACAGAATAGTTAGGGTTGGAAAGGACCTTAAGATCATCCAGTTCAAGCCCCCTGCCATGGTCAGAGACAGCTCACACTAAGCCATGTCACCATGCTCAACCCAGCCTTGAACACCGCCAGGGATGGAGCATTCACAACTTCTCTGGGCAACCCATTCCAGTGCCTCACCACCCTCATAGTAAAGAACGTCTTTCTTATTTCTATCCCGAACTTCCCTTGTTTAGGTCTGAACCCATCGCCCCTTGCCCTATCACTACAGCTCACTTTTTACTAACAGAGATGAAATCAGTGCTGTTATAGCTCTTCAACATACGCCCAGCCTCCCCACAGTCAGCTAAGCGGGGAGCCTCTCGAACAAAGCAGGCCGCCCTGTTGAAAGCCTCACGGCGTGCAGCCTGTACTCTGACAAAGAAGAAACCATAAGAAGTACCGTCTTCATCTTGCACGGGTTCCTCTCACCGCTCCACGCACCGTCAAGGAAAACCTTTCTCACTGCAGCCGCCTCGGATCGCGGAAGCACGGAGTCAGAAACACGGCGGCTCTCGCAGTGCGGTTACGGAGAACCACGCCAGGATGCGGGAGATGCTACGGCGGGAGGGAAGAGAGTCAGAGGACAGCTCAAGAACCGAGGGGAGGCCGAGGACAGCGGAGGGGAGGCTGCGGCGGGAGAGGCCGCAGCACCCGGGGCGGCTGAGGGGAGGCAGCAGCCATCCCTAGGCCGAGGAGCCCGCTCCGCCTACCCCCGAACGGAGGCCTCCGCACCCCGCCCGCCGCGGCCAGAGGGTCCGGGTCCGGGTCCGGGTCCGGGTCCGGGTCCGGGTCGGGGTCCGGGTCGGGAGCTCGGCCTCACCTCAACGTTCCGCCTGGACCGCGCGCCTTCGGCCTACCCACAACCGCCGCCGCAGCTCACTGCGCACGCGCGCTCCTTCCCACCTCGCGATTGGCCGGTTTGAAAGGGAGGAACTATACGTCCCTGCGTACCTCGCGCGCCGCAGCGCCCAGCGTGGAGGGCCGTGGGGCATGCTGGGAGTTGTAGTCCGATGGTACCTGCAGAGTGGATGAGTGCTTCCCCATTCTCTCCAGTTATCAGCAGAGGCTGTTAACAGGGGTCCGGGGCGGGATTGTCTTTGTGGACCTCTCTGGGCAGCCACACGGGTGTCCCCCTTAGGCGGCAAAGACAGCTACCGCAGGGCTTTGATTGCGTTACAGAGGAAACCCGAAATACGAATTATTCCCCCTAAAAAAAAGGGTCCTAAAGGCGGAGCGACAGCACGGGAGCCGATGCTCACCCCCCCGTCTGCGTTACTGCGGCTGAGCCCACCCCCCTGACCGGGCTGCACACCGGGGTGAAACACGGGCTGGGACGCGCCGGGGGAGCCTCCTCCTTCCTGCGCCCTGATTTATCCTTTCGGATCTGTTATTTCCCCTGTTTTTCCCGTTGCCCCTCGAGGCACCCCCTTTGCTGCTGTTAGAAACATCCCCGAGTTCGGTACCGGCGGCACCACGGGGCCCATGGCCGCGGTTTGGATCCCGCTTCTTGCGGGATTTACTCTTTATTCTACGAACGACGGACTCTGTCTCCGTGGGGATGCACCCGTGGGTGCCCTGGCGCGGGCGGGGAGCAGAGCCGGGAAGCACCGGGATCAGTCACCGGGACCTCCGAGCCCGCTGCTCCTACCGCTGCTTGTAGCCAAATACTCCTCAAAACTGTTAAAAACGGCCCCGTTAACGAAACCGTTTGAGAAAGGCCGTGATCCTGCCAGCCAAGTGCAGGTCACTGAGCCCCACCAGCCCCGGAGTGGGTACGGACAGGCCCACCTGGGATTCCCTGCAGGGAACGGGATAACGAGCAGGAGGCAGGGAAAATCACCCAGACCATCGGCATTACACGTCGGTTTCGCCCTCCTGCGCATCCCCTTCCAGCCGTGCCCAGCTGGGCTGCGGTGCTCCCCCGGGTCCCGGTGCTGCCCGGCGGGAGCGTGCGATCGCGCTGGCGAGTTTACAAACGAGGCTTAAAACGGTTTATTTTTTTTCTTTTTTGTTTCTTTCTTTAAAAATATTTACAGATCTGAAATAACGCTTTTTTAATTAATTTTGTTCGGTTTCAAGTGGCAGGATCGCGGGAAGGGCACGGGGGTGCCCCCGGTCACCCGGGCTCTCCGTTTGCCCAGTCCCTCCCATCAGTTTCGTTCCTCTGTCCCTGCCGCGGAGGTAAACCGAGACCCCGCACGGAGCCTCCGCGGCAGCCCCGGTCTCAGCCCCGGTCCCGGTCTCGGCCCCCGTCCCGACCCCGAAGGGGCGGCCGCGGGGAAGAGAGCGCGGTGGGTCAGTGGTCAGTAGTCGATCTTGTTGTAGAGGTTGTAGAGCGGTAAGGCCGAGAGGTTGCTGCCGGGGTAGTAAAGGGGCGCAGGGAAGGCGATGGACCGGGGCACCGGCACTCGGAGGAGGGAATTGTCCCTGAACACCAGCGGCATCCCCACCAGAGTCTGCGCCGAGGCATGGGCCATGTTGGCCGCCTCCAGCTCGGCCGAAAGCTGCCGTTTCCACTTGTTCCTACGGTTCTGGAACCAGGTCTTCACCTGGGTCTCAGTGAGCTGCAGGCTGGAGGCCAGGCAGGCCCGCTCCGAGCTGCTCAGGTAGCGCTTCATGTCGAAGGTGGACTCCAGCTGATAGACCTGGCTGCGGCTGAACACCGTGCGCGTCTTCTTCTTGGCAGCACCGGCCTGCCGGTCCCCGCCGTCGCGCTGCCGGTCCCCGCAGGAAGGTGAGGCGGGGCCCAGCGACTTCTCCTTCTCCTCCTTACAGTCCTGCTGGGGGGGCGAGAGGAAGGGCCCCCGCTCCCCGCTGCCCGCCGCCGCTGCTCCGCTCCCTTTGGTGCTGCCTGCAACAGAGCGAGAGCACGGAGGTCGCACCGGTACCGGCACCACCCCCGACGCCCAAGCCCCCCGTTCCAGCTGGGGGCAAGGCTGAGGTGAGCCCCTGGCCAGGCACCCGCCGCCTCCGTTACCGGGGGAAGCCACCGCCGAGGCCGGGGGAAGCCATCCCTGTCCTTCCATCGAAGGGACGGGTGGACAGACGGACAGGTGGGTGTGCCCGCCTCGGTGAAGGCAGCCGAGAACCAGGCTGGAGGTGCTTTACAATCATAGAATCCCAGCCTGGTTTGTGTTGGAAGGGACCTTAAAGCTCATCCAGTTCCAACCCCTGCCACGGGCAGGGACACCTTCCACTGGAGCAGCTTGCTCCAAGCCCCTGTGTCCAACCTGGCCTCGAGCACTGCCAGGGATGGGGCAGCCACAGCTTCTCTGGGCACCCTGTGCCAGCGCCTCACCACGGGAATAGGTTGGTGATACCAACCTAACACGGGCCGGCTGGTTTTATTTCATAGCCTTGCATTTCACAGACCGTTTATTCAGAATTAACGCTAAAAATAAAGCCCTGCATCTTTCTTCAGCTCTGAATAAGCAGAATCTAGGAAAACCGGCGTTATCCGTCGCCCCGCTCCCCTTCGAGGGAGTCAACCCCGCTTGAGGTGGGAAGGGAAAAAGAGAACTCCAAAAACCCGAACTGACTTTGACAGAGTTTCTTCTTCCTCCTTCAGCATCAGACTGCGCAAATATGCTCAGACCCGAAAGCAGGGAGGGTGCCACATGTCCCCCACCCCCATGGCCCCTGGCGGGGGCCAAGCCCCCTCGGCCCTTCCCTGCTGGCCCCATCCGTCCCCTCCTTCCCGTGCCGGTACTCACCGAGGCAGGTGAAGCTGAGGGGCTGGTGCTTGTGGCACGGCTCGGCTGGGCCCTGAGCTTCGGGGCAGAAGCAGCCGCGGTGTTTCCAGCTCTCCTCCGGCTCCTCGTCCTCCGAGGAGAGGGAAAGGGTCCGGCCGCGGGCGGACCAGGCGGTCGCCCCCCCGCCGCCCTCCCGGGGTGGCCCAGCGCTACCGCTGCCCAGGATGGACTGGATGGTGAAACTGGAGATGGGAGCAGCCGTCTGACAGCACTTGCTGGGGTCTTCTTTGCCGCTCATCCTGGGTTCATAAGAAAGCAGAGGAGGGAAGCTCCCGCTTTAGATGGGCTCGGGGGGCCGGGGTGTGCGGGGAGGGGGGAGCCCGCTTTGAGCTGGAAGGGGGTTTGTTTTGGGGGGTGCTTTCGGCGTGCCGGTGCCGGCTCTCCCCGCGCCTGCCCAGGCGGAATGCATGCTCCTTCCCCCGCGTCCCTATTGATCTGCGGGCGGCGGGCGGCGGGGCTTCATTTGCATGGAGGTGGCCTCCGCCGCGCCAATCACGGCGGCGGCGGACACGGAAAGTTTGGAAACCCGGGGGGTCCGGAATTGAGGGGGTAGGGAAGGAGAAGCCAGGGTCGGCAGGAGCCGAGGGGAACCCCCGCGGGGTCCGCTCCTCCGTCCCTGGGGCACCGAGGGGATGCTCTGACCCCGCAGCCGCGGGGGAGTAGGGATGCTGAGCCCGCTCTGCCTCCTCGCCCTGCACCGCGAATGGGTGAGAGGGACGTGGGCTGAATTCCTTATGCCTGCCTTGGTGGGAGGGGGTGTTGAGACAAGCACCTTGTGCATATCCGTTACCCTTCTTCTAATTACAGGATAGGGAAACAAAATCCCTGTGACGGTGTATTGGCGGCCCGGCAGAGCCTGGAAAGCCATCGAGAAATCGGGTTTTCCGCTGCAGCCGGTAACAAATGTCTCACGGAACGCCTCTTGCGTGCTCTTCGCAGGGTGTGCAAGCAGCGGGGGGGAGATCAGGAAGAGAGAGGACATCCTCCTCTGCTTCCAAATAAACTTTGTCAGGAGTCAGGGGCTCTTCCCCTTGGGGGAATAAATCACGGCGTTCTCAGCTATTCCTGGCCTTGGGAGGGGAAATCTGATGGGGCTGCCGTCTGTGTGTCACACGGAATGGGGGGCAAAGGGAGAAGAGCAGGGACCCCTCGGGGGCCGTCCCTGGAAGGCACAGATCTACTGCCGGGCCCAAGGGACAGCCCGGCCCGCGTTCGGTGGGTCCTGGAGCCTCTGCCCAGGGGAGATGGGTCAGAGGCCGAGCCCCGACGGCTGCCTGGGCGCCTCCGTCCCCCGGCCAGGGCCCGGGGATGCTTCCCCTTGCCCTGACAGGAACCCCGGTAACGGCGCCGATGTGGAAGGCATCAACCCGGTGGCCGTCACCCTGGGTACCGCACAGCACCAGTGTCGTCGTCCCCCCCCCCAACCCTCCCGCTCCTCCTCCATTCCCCACTGCCGCGATTCCAAAGGGACGCATCTCCTCCCCTCGCTGGGCCACCGGTGTCCGTGTCCATGGGCTGTCCCCGAACCCTCTTGGGAATATCGTTAATTAAGGAAGACGGGGCGACTTTCGCGGCCGGTTGGGCCAGTGGCCGGCACCCTCGGGAGAGGGGGGAGCACGGAGGGATGCTGGGGGCATCCCGCAGGGAAGAGCGAGGCGCAAGCGCTGCTCCAGCTCGGAAATCCCGGTGGTTTGGATCTCATTCGTGACCAGACGCAATACCCTTGGCCGTGGCAGGGGGTTTTAACCCCGGGTTGCCTGAGGGTCGTAGGACCGGGGTCCCCGCGGAGGCAGCCCCTATTCCTGCTGCTGATCCCTCCTGCTGGTGCCGTCGTTTCCCCTCTCCAGAAACATACACACACACCCCCCACCAAAAAGAAAATCAAATCGGGGAAAGCAAAGAATGAGATGGAAATATACAAATCAATAGAGACAAATGTCAAGACGTTTTAAAATGACATTTTCATTAACTCCGAGTCACCATATTATGTCTGGTATATTGAATAAAGTACTTATAATATAATTAGGTATAGCGAGATGACGACTGTTACCCAGACCAGCGGCATAATCTTTAACTACTTAACTACTTGATAGACTCATTAATGGACTAATTGATTAGGAAAAGTGTTCCAGCTCCTCCTCTCGCTGTGAGGGGCAGGTGCTGTCCTGTTTTACCACATTAACCTTTTCAGTGCTTTTCAACAGGGTCGCGACACATTACAAATGGTCAGCTTTAATCATGATGTCAGCTCATTAACCCGGAAAGACCCCGCACTGAAATACAATTTAAGAAATCGTCCTTCATCCCGCTCCGCTGGCCCCGCACCCCGAGCCCAGCACCCCTCCCGCAGGCGGAGAGCGGGGCATAGGGGCGCCGGGTGGGGACAACCGTCGAAGGGGACAAGCCCGGCCTTGGGGACAGCCCCGGGGGGCTGCCAGCCCTCGGCTCCTTCTCGGGGACAGCCCCAGAGCAGAGGGAGAGCGACCGCGAAGCAGCCCCGCTCCCCCGCAGCCCCTAGACGTGACCCCGCAGCGGCGCCGCCGTCCCCAGCACCGCAGCTCCTTCCCTTTGGAGCCCACCAACAGCCCGGGGTGCCCCTGGCTTTGTCCTCCCTTCCCAGTGGAGCGGGTCCTGCCTGTGGGAGCCTCCGGGTTCTTGTGGCCGAGCCGAGGGGATGCTCCAAACCGGGGAGGGGATGTGCTGGACAGGGAGGGACACACAGGGGCTGCGGGTAGGGGTGAGCTCTGCCCGGCCACGGCGATGAAACCACCACACTTGCCTAAAATGAGTATTTCAGGTGTTAATGGAGGAAGTTCAGGCGAATCCAGAGGGATGGAAGCCGAAGTAGCTTCGGCGGGATGCTCGCCGCCGCTGTCGGGAGGGAAGGACCATCGGGGCCCAGCCACGCTCTCATTACCATCTGATCAAATATTCATCACGGCAGGGGCTGCCTGTGCCGGTAAAGGGGCTTTGCATGTGGATGGATGGGGGGGGAGGCGTCCCTCCCCGTCCCGTCGGGGCGCGGATGATCAAACGCCGAGGCAAAGATAAACTTTGAAAGACAGAGCGAACGCTTAAAGTTTAGATCTCCAGATTATTACAATGCTCGATATTAAAGTGGCCCTGAGCAAGCTTTCAAAGGGAGCCTAATAAAAATTGATCTCCGCTGCTTTTGCAGCACTCGGAAAATAGGCTTGTTGAGCGGCCGTAATATCGGGAGAAGGTTCCCTCTCAAATGACAGATGAAGTCATAAACAAGTTTGATCTTGGAATCAAGCTTCGATAAATATTAAACACAGTCCCCTTTACACGTGTGGATTATGATATATGGCGCGTCCAAACTTTAAAATAAGGAAATACCAGAGAAAATGATCTCAATAAATTTTCTAAGTATAAACGTTGATTATGTTTCGATTTTCATTCAAGAGCCTCTGCTGCTCGTTTTTTGGTGCAAATGACATCTCGCAATAGGCTTTTGGGGAAAAGGGCTCCCTATTTGAAAAAGAGAGCCCTAGAGGTGTACAATTTATGTAATCTGTGGCTGGAAAATGAATCGTGTAATTTATTGGAAAACAGAAAGTCATGAAGATTGGATCAGCATAGCCTATCCAAGGCCCCCTATCCATCAAGTTCCAATTAACAACCTAACCAGAGAGCTTTAATGTGTTTCCAATCTAGTGGCCTGATAGACTCATCAATTCCTCTGGGAGAAATTAAGAAAATCGACCGCCCCTTGGCGTTGTAGTGTCATTCCTTTCTGCAACTATATGTCAAATTAAAAACACAATTAAAATTTAAACTGTTTCAATCAGAGGGTGCCCTGCAACCTATGTTTCACTTAATAGAACTTTGATGAAAATCTGATGGTTCCACTCCATCACGAAGGCGAATAGAGCTGAGGAGCGCAAGAGATTCTTTATATTTGTTTAAAACACCGGAGCTCAGGAGAGCCAACACCAGGTGACCAAATCTGAGGGGACCGGAGGTTGCATCCCCGTCGAGCCGCCGCTCCCCGCGCCCGCCCGGGAGACACGCATATCCCCACACAGGGGAACGGGCATCCTGTGGCCCCTTCCAGCGCGGCGGGGACTTTGAGACCGGAGGCATTGCTCTGATCCATAGGGATTGGCCATTTGGGGCTGTAAACGATCGGCTCCAGGGAGTCACGGAGGGCCCCGGCTCGGAGCCCCCGGGGATGAGGACTGGGGAGAGGATGTGGGACCTGCCCCCCTCCGACCCCTCCTTCGACTCCACATCGATGTAAACAGCTTTAGACCTCTCCGACGGGCAACTTTGCAGCTTTAACCGGGGGATGCGGCCCCGGGGAGGCGGATTGAGGGCGGCAGCGCCCACTGTGCGGAGCCGCGGGAGGCTTGGAGGAGCCCATGGCACTCAGGGACACGCTCACCCCAATTCCCTTCGCCTGTTTTCATTTCCCCCATACTTTTGAGGTGATCCCGACCCCTCAGACTACGGTTTCGGGCCAGCCCCGAAGCGGCGGGGATGGCCGCGGGGTGTCCCGCTGCTCGGTTCCCGATCATCTATGGGAAGGGTGGGAGGATAATTTGGATGTGCGAGAACAAACCAAGGTCATCAACACGGCCGAAAAGAGCGCAGGAACAATAGATTCATTTGAAACAATATTTTACAGACGTTTTGCGATCAATACGAGCTGAAGCATTATGCTGTACCAATCTGTTAATGCTCTTAATGGTCTTCTCATTCCGTTCGCACACTATCCCGAGTCGATAGAGTAAAGTGATTATTACAGAGACACTTGCAGCATATTTGTAAAGAAACCCCCCAACACCTATTTTTACCGCTGGTTTAGAGCGGGGTTATTCCCTTCGGATCGAGGTGTCCCCATCGCGCGTCCCCATCGCAGCCACCACCAATAGAATTAAACATTTCTCACCATCCTGTACCAGAAAATGTGCAAGTTTTCGGATGAGAATCATCATATACATAGCAATAATAACGTTAATAAATCAATTACCCACCTGCCCAAGTGGCTCGGCTGCTTGCGGCTGAGGGGCTCCGCTCCGCGCACCCCGGTCCAGCCCCTCCGGGAGGCAAAACTCTTCTGAATCCCCCAAATCTGCAGGTCGGGAAGTTTATATCTTCCCCCGCGCTGTTTGCTATACACAGCAAGCCTCTATTTACTACCAAATAAAAGAAATACATGTGTGTTTCGACCACAAACAAGCGAGCTAGTTCTGTTCAGCCAAGCTCAAAACAGTGGCCGAGAAGAACCGTGTTATCTCCTGAATTGCAAACAAAGGCAGAGATTTGCCGAGCGGGATTGAAGCAGTAAACACAAGTGGCTGCAGAGTTGCCAACAGCTTAGGGAAAACGAAGCAACTTTCAATCCATCCCTCCCAAGCATGCCTGTAGAGATGGGGGTTTATTATTATTGTTATTAGCTCTTTTTCCACCACTCCAAGCGATTCGTTAGCAGCGGTTGATGCGGGATCTCCACTAAGTTTAGGTGAGCAGGGGGTGTATTTACGGTGGGAGCACGTCCGCTCCTTACCGGCCCTCGTCACACGGAAGCTGCTCAGGGAGAGCCAGGGCTCGGTGGGTGCCCAAGTTCCACCTCATCCCGAGGAGGGAGACATTAAACCCCTCTCTGGAGCACTGCTGGGGGGTAGGATGGAGTTTGGGGATACTTTAGGGAAGGCCTGAGGAAAACCCCAGCACCAATTTTGTGGGATGCGGGCAGAGAGAAGCATCCCGATCCGGATAGAGGGGAACGAAAGGAAGCCTGGAATCCCGGCTACGGGAGGGAAGCGAGGAGCTGGGGTCCCAGGCCTTCAGCCTATCGTCCAGCTCCATCCCACCGCTTCACAGCCTGTGCTGTGCTGTCGATCCCGCGGCGAGAAGGGGAAAAGCTGCTCTCGGGGCCGAGTTTTCTCCTTCCTTTCCTTTTTCTTTTTTTTTTTTTTTTTCTTAATTAAAAATTAAAATCTTCATTAAAAAAAAAGGAAAATAAAGGCTCCAACCCGACCCCCACCAACCCCACCTCCATCAACCTGCCTCTGGGAAGTACCCCCCCATAGCACCGCGGTGTGCAGGACGTGCCATTTCCCGCACCCGCGGAAGGGCAGCGCCGCGGAGAGGGCCCCGCGCAGGGTCGGGGGGACCTCGCAGTGCCCTTCCTCGGCTGGGGAAGGACCGGGCTGGGCCGGAATCGTTTTCTAGGCACCGACCACAAATAAATGCGTTATTTTTCCTTGCCGTTTGATAACATCGTGCTGCAGCGCTGTAAAAATGGAAAAAGACGGTATTTGCTATTACAACAATATTTTTAATGAGCTGCAAGCGACTTGTCCCAAAGTTAGTACTGCAAACAGAAAAGGCATCACTCTGTTTGCAGGCGACACAGCGAGCAGCGTATTTTGACTCCGAAACTCTGTTTATTTTTCATTTACGACCCATTGCCAGGGTTTTTATCCCAAACGAAAAGAAAACGCGGGGTTATCTTTTCGCAACGCTGAGTTTTATTTTGATTTCTTTGGCCCGAAATCCTGCCCTCGGCACTATCAACACGTCGATTCGGGCCAATCTGCAGGAAGCGGAGCTCGATCCTCTCTCGGGATAAACCTGTCGAGGGGTTTGACAAGAGGGAAGGGCCTGGCCGTGGGCTGGGGGCGCACCCCGGGGGGTTGGACACCCTGGGGTGCCTATAGACAACCCTCCCTATGGCAGACCCCAGGGGAAGGGGGAGAGAAGGGGAAGGGCAGCACCGACCCCCTTCGGGAAGGGTTGAGGAAGGGGCGGCCAGAAGCTATGCGGAACCCCCCCTGGAGGAGGCCTCCTACTGGGAAGGGACCCCCCCCAACCCACCCCCGTGCCCATTCCCGGAGGCCTGGGACCTCTTGCTGGGGGTTACCCAGGCGCGATGCTGGGAAAGGGCTCCCCCATCGAGCCGCTCCCAGTTGGACCCGGACAACCGGGGAGCCCCGGGGGGTGTCCGGTAACCCCCAGTGCCCGGGTTATTCGTGCTTTTTATAGTCTATTTTATTTATATATATATTTCTTTTCCTCCGAAGCCACACTTAAAAGAAAAGTGATAAGGAACGGGTTTTATTGATTATTTTCTTTTCCACCACAACATTAAGTTTATAACAATATAGGCTGTTTTAAAAATAGGACCGACCCCTAACAGAAAGCGAGAAGGGGGCAGAGAGCACAACCGAAAAGGGGAAACAAACGGAAAGAACTGAGAGAAAAAGAAAGGAAAGAAATCGACGCCAACCCTTGGGAAGACAGCAAACAATTGTCAGACAACAAGTGAGCAGACACTGAGACAGGGAGAGACAAGAGGTGTCCACTCCTAGCTTCATTTCTGCCTTAGGAAACCCCACGATGGACTTCAGGAGAAAACTGTACATCCTAGCAAATAAATTAAAATTACCCTAAAGTTGATTGTCCTTCACTTAAAGCGCCCAGCTCACCCCATCTCCCTTATTTATCCGCATAAACTGATGGTTATTCCCATGCCCTCCTCCTCTCTTCCCACTTCCCTTCGCTTTTAATTCCTTTGTGTTCTGTTTTTTGCTTTTCAGTTTATTTTGTACAACACGAACGAACGCAATTATACAACGCTAAACCCCCCTTTCCTCACCGTTCAAATAAAAGCAGTGCTTTACGAATCGTCGTACAATATTGCACAGGTCAAAGGTACAAGAACAATAATAATTATAATCATTATACAAAAAAGAAAGAAAAAGGTACAGATTTTTACCACCCCCCCCCAAAAAAAACAAATAACTTTACAAGGAAACAAAAATAAATCAACCGGAAGACTAAATAAAACAAGAATTCCAAATATCCAAGTCATCGGTAATAAATAAGGGGCGCTCAAACGCGTTCGGGGGCGTTTTAACCGTTCGCTTTGAGGCCGCGTTTCTTTTCTCGTTATTAAGTCCCATGACAGAAACCGAAAGGTACAAAACCTGGGAAAGCAAAACTCGGTGCCGGGGTCTGCTGGAACGAAAAGCCGCGCTCGGTAATGTCTGTGTCGCGACAGGAGCAGGAGCCTGACCAATTTGGAGGCAGGAGGAGAGGTCCGAAAGGAACAGAAATTCGCCCTCCCTTGAGCGTTTGGCAAATGCTGAGGAGCGGCCTGGGATCATGATACATTTTTTTTTCATTATTATTCTTTTTTTTTTTTCATTTTTTTCCTTATTTTTTAAAATTTTTTACAAAAATAAAACTAAAGCCACAGAGACCACCGCGGTTTTCGTCCACGTTTATAAAAGGTGTGACAGCTCCAGGGTCCTCTACAAGTTCCTGCTTTTATTTTCCTTATTTTCCACCCTCCCTTTCCCCACCCCCTTTCAATTTTTATTGATTTTTTAGCTTTATTTTCCTCATTTTTCGTGACTTTTCTCCCAGCATCACCTCCGAGGGGTGTCGCGTTGTGTGTGTCCCCTCCCGCACCCTTCTCTTCCCCCCCACCCCCCTTCCCCATCCCGCTCCGCAGCCGCCGGCCGGGTGAACCGCACAAGCGGCCGGAGTACTTACAAGTGACTTTGCGAGCCTCTCCGCGCCTCTCCGCGCAGCGGCGGCGGGCGGGCGGGCTCAGACGGGCCGCAGGAGCGGCACGGAGGTGACCACGGGGTGGGAGTAGTAGACGGGGTGAGGGAAGGTGAGCAGGGGCTGAGTACCGGGGGCTCCGCCGCCCCCCGCGCTCCCCTCCGCGCCCGAGTTCTCGTGGTAGAGGATGGGGACGCGGACGATGCGCTGCGCGGCGGCGTGGCTGAGGTTGGCCGCCTCCAGCTCGGCCGCAAGTTGCCGTTTCCACTTGTTCCGACGGTTCTGGAACCAAATCTTCACCTGGGTCTCTGTCAGGTGGAGGGAAGCGGCCAGGCCGGCCCGCTCCGAGCTGCTCAAGTAGCGCTTCATGTCGAAGGTGGACTCCAGTTGGAAGACCTGGCTGCGGCTGAACACCGTGCGCGTCTTCTTCTTGCGGCACGGCTTCTTCTCCGGGCTCTCCTCTCTCTTCTTCCAGTCCTCGGCCGCCCCTTCTTTCTTCGCCTCCTCCGAGTCGCTCTCCTCCAGGACGATCTCGTCAGGGCTCTTGGAGTCCAGCTCCTTTTGCTCCCCTTCCGCCTTCAGCAGCGGCTCCGGCGAGTCCCGGTCGGTGCCCGAAGCAGGGGACGAGTCCCTCAGCAGGGATTTCTCCGCGGCTGGAGGGGAAGGACGGGGAAAGGGGAGAGGAAGGGGAATAAGGGACACAAAGAGAACACCTTCAGCGCCCGGCCCTCGATTACCGTCGGGGGAAGCGGGTTGAGCCGGCCGGACCCCCGCGCCGCCCCGCCGGAACGGATGAAGGGATGGAAAGAGGGGGATCGGTACCTTCCGTGCGGGGCAGGTGGGCTCCGGCCGGTGTCAGGGCGTAAGGGTACCACCAGGTCTGAGCCCGCTCCAGGCAATGGGCGCTCAGGGCGAAGCGCGGCGCCGGGATCTCGAAGCGGGGAAAAGCGAGGTCTCCCACCTGCGAGAGGGCGAAACCGGTGCCGTCCCCCGCCGCTTTCCCCGGGGGAGCGAACAGCGCCCGCGGCTGCTTGGGGGGAGCTTTGGGGGGGCCGCCGTTGAGCAGGTTCTTGATGTAAAAAGACTCCTTGGGGGGCGGCGGCGGCGGCGGGGCGCTGGGGGGCTCCTGCCCGGTCTCCGGCATCCTCCGGTGCCCGCCCGGCTCCTGCCCGCCGCTGGCCCCGCAGCCCGCGCCCGGCGCGCAGGTGGCGGCTCCCGGGGAGAGGCGCAGCGGGGCGGCGGGGGAGCGCGGCGGCGGGGCCGGCCGGGGGCCCCTCGCATGGGGGGAAGGCAGGGCGGGGGGCCGAGGGGACCCGCGCAGCCCGCGGCACCGGGGGGCTGCTGCGGGCAGGCGGAGAGCCGGGGTCGTCGCTGCCGCCGCCGCCTCCCGCCGCCGCTGCTGCTGCGTCAACCTGGCGCCGGATGCTAATGATGAAATCAAAATGTCATCCAAGTTAAGCGCGGGGAGCACACGGCGATTGGGCACGCACAATGGCAAATGGGATTAGGCGGGGAGGCGGACGGGAGGAGAAGGCTCCGCGCAGCCCCTGC